GTTCTGTTTCTATTGTGCTCTAATTCATAAAGCCTTTTTTTCTAAATAAGGTGGACTTTCCTTTTATAGTGTAATCCATCCTTCTTTTTTCTTTTTTTCTCAACCGATGCACATACTGGACAGATAAGACGTCCAAGTGATGGCGGGGAGGCTGAATTGGTCGATCTCTCTCTGAACTAGTGTGTATCTATCATAAGTTCATGTGGCACTTACATGAGATAAAGGTAGAGGAAGTTGGGCGTCTGTGAGTAAGGTCTCTTTTTTTCTGCTTGTTTGCCTGTTTGACCACAATTGTACGAGAGTCAGAATTGCAGTCAGTGTGAGAGAAGGTTGGGTCTGAACTAACAGGTTTACGCATGGAGTTGTACATATCATTGGGTGTGTGTGTGTGTGTGTGTGTATTTTTGAGAGAAACAGAGGGACTTTAAAAGCCAAGCAGATAAGTAGCAATGAAAGGCAGATAGTCTTATCTCTGGCACCAATTCAAGCCCTCTGTGGTTTCTTCTATTTTCCTCTCCTCATCAAATGTGTTTTGCTTCATAAGCAGAACGTATGGAATGAAAGTAGAAAAGGGCACACACGGAAAATGTAAAGACACACGAGAACTAACTGAGCAGTTGTTTTCAAGTGTTCTCTTTAGTAAATGAGGGGTAAACAGGCCTAATAAACAAGCTTAACCAATGTATCAGAACAAAACAATAAGCCTCCTTTTAAAATGGAAAGGCGGTCATTTTTGGAGCACAGTAGTTATTTTAAACAGCCAAATACTGCTCATTTCTTTCTCAGTTCTTCTTTTAAATTGATATCAAACTGTCCTCGTGGTATCCAAAAACACACTTTGGAGATCTGAAATGTATTAAATATGTAACTTATGATATTTATGTCTAAATGAACCCTCAGCATGGATTTCACTTTGATAATAATTATCTGTGGCTGTGAGTTGACAAAAGGATCTCACACACACACAAACATCTGTGTCTGAGCAACCTAAATGAGACACGCTATCGGCTCGTTGGGCACAACTTGGCTCTCAGACGTGCCGTAAAGCCACCACTCGCTCGTCAAACAGGAGCCTCCTTATTGCAAAGGCAAAAACAACAGCAACACTTATCAGTCAAAATCTCCCTCACATGTCTGCACTCTTACATCTAAGTGAGCTGCTGAAGTGACAGTTGCTGCATTACATAACAGCACCGAAGACCAGTGAGCCCAAAAGAGTGGGCCAAAAACTTTGCCTGAATACAAACATGCTTTGAATGAATTAGAAGAACAACATAGAGTATCAGACAAGGTTCTTTGTCACCACTCTGATGTAACACATCAGATACAAGCATGACGGTAGACGACGGCTTATTCTGGTTTATTAAATATCCCTGGAAAAAAAATACATTTAAGTCAATCATAGTACACTAGAAAATAAATCATGAACTAAATCAAACCGCAGTACAGGTTTTTGATGCAGAAGTTTTAGCTGCTGGTCAGGATTAAAGTAGATTGTTGACCAACAAGGGGCATTATCGCTTAATCGTCAGCGCTAATGTGGCTTTCTGGGGACAGCAGTGCACATCAGAGGACATCCATTCGGAAAAGCAGAAAACGAGTTTTACAAAAAAATCTTCATCACTATGTTCATAATACTCCTCGGCTGGCAGAACTGTGGGGCATCTACTGAAAATGAGCTGTGCTTTTCAACTCAGAAAGCAAAAAGTAAGAGAATGCAGAGGAACGAAGTTTCACGGTTTACTGTGCTGAGAGGGTGAACGTTTTGCTGAGAAACAAACCGAGAAGAGCTGCTGCAGATTGGTCAGACACCTCAACAAAGGCTTTGTTTCAGAGAGAGAACAGTTTTGTGGCACTAACGAGTACAGTGCTTCAGAAAAATGAGAAGACACCCACATCAGCCACTAAAACCAAGATACTCTTAAGAGAAGCCAGCTCAGCAGTGAGTAACTAAATATGAACCGAACAACCACACCGAATCCCCACTTTAACCTGAACAAACCTGTTCCAGCACCTGATAAATAAGGTGATGTTGTTTTATTCTAAGTCCTTAAACCCCTTAACAGCTACTTTTAGCATTTTGTTTCCGTTTAAGCTGCTTTAATCTTGTTAAAATGGTCTTTTTTCTACTTTTACTTGGGTACTATCATGTACATTGTTTGATGGAGTTCCAGTTTCAGCTGTTCTATCGAGTTTGCTAAATATTCAATCACAAAACAATAGCTATGTCTGAGGTCTTTATTCAGATCAAATTTGAGTTAAATACGGGAATGGGACAAACATTATTCTCCCACCTCCACGGGTGACAGACTTTTGCCCAAAACGAGTGACAAGTTGTTTGGTGTTCGGAAAAAAACATCCACAGTGAACAACTTGGCCATAAAAGAAAAGTAGGAAAAGTGTGCAGTAGGTTTCTGTGGCAGAAGGATGAGCTGTCTCATCCCCTGTGACAGCCAGTGGCTTGATTTATAGCCACGGGAATACTTTGAATAGAAAGGCATGGGCCAGAAGCAGAAGCAAAAATAAGAGCTAATCCCTGTGGATTATTCCTACTTAGTGCCATTCTTACCCACTCCCAGCGCCTTACAACACTCCAGTGAAAAGGATGTGGAGGTTTATTGGGGTAAACATGGATAAGAGGGGGGTTACTGCAGGTGCAAGACAGGTGAGGAGAATGTGATAATGGGTGAGAGGGGGAACAACGGGGCATGCTGGGAAATAAGAGCACATGACACCCCCCCTTCATCTGTTCTGTGACAGACAACTCTCCCTGTCCCGTCAACTGATTTCAGAGCTGCTGTGTGCATCATTTGCTGTGATCCTCTTACCTTTTCTGCCGGGGGTGTCAGCGGGGGGCAGGTCGAGCTCCTCATATTCCATAACTCTCTTGTCAGAACACCGGATGGCCCTAAACACTCATACACTCACCTCTCACTGACACGCACACACACACACACGCACAGACCACACACGTATGCGAGCTGAGTATACGCTTTTGAACTCCACCTGCCTATTTCTAACACCCCTACGAGACACAACGCATGACAAACTCGGGCTACCTGTTGGCTCTCCTAGCGCCCGGGCCGGCGCAGGCATTTGAAAACGTGCACAGCCATCTCGCCTCTTTCCAGTGTCACGGGCTCCAGGATTCGGCCGTCATCTTCTCGCCTTCCCCCTCGGTAGCCCTCCTTTAGGTGTGAGTGTTGGGGAATGACGGCAGAGGCAGCGCAGAGTGCAGCTGGACCGGCCGGCCGGAGCTCCACGGCTCCCCCCCCCCCCCCGCCCTGCGCTCCCCGTGCGCCCTGACCGTCCCAGGCTGGAGGGAGTTATGTCACCGGCCCGTTACGTAATAGCAGCGGATCGGGTTTTGCTTTGAAGTGCTCGGGTTGAGAAATATAATCCCGTGTTGCAGCTACGAATTTCCGCCACCCCGATCGAGAAAAACAGAACGTGGAGACGCGACTTTCCAGTGGCCTCGCGTTTCCCTGCTGCATGGGAGACGGAACATGCTCCAATAAAAAATCCCCCTTTTACGTTTTTTGTCTTCTTTTTAGGGTCCCCAGAACCACCTACAGGTACAGAAGTTGTAGTGATGTGTAGGGATTCGGGCTGTTGATAGTATGCAATGCCTCATTTAAACATAGACACAAAAGAAAACGATGAATAATCTATATGTCTTCTCGGTTTACATCATTGTGGTCAGAGCTTCTTGAAGACAGGGTGCTTGCTGGGCACAGACAAAGAGCAGCTCATGCCAGTCGTGGAATATGACGGAGTATCCTACTTTTAATCTCGAAAGAATAATAAAATGATACCCTTTTTTGGGGCAGTCTAATTGAATTCTTAAATAAAAAATCATTTAGAGATCAAATATTCCACATGAAGCTATTGCAGTGAGAAAGACAGCCTCATAAGGGTCCTTTTAGCAGCAGAGCTGAAGAAGCCTCTGACTGAGGATTCACAATTCTTCTCAGTGAAATGTAAAATGAATCCTTATCTTGAGGCAGAGTAGCAGGTTACAATTATCCACACAGTTATGGTTTATTGTGTTACCTATCATGACAAAAACACAGTCTAAATATCAGCTTTGTATGAAGCTCATCCGTGAAAACAACATGACTTTGTAAACTAAATTTGAAAATCACATTTCTTAGTTTCGCCAGCATCAGATTCAAACAGTAACCAGTCCCTTTCACACAGCCCAGTCAGAGATTTGAGATAAACAGGCTTCTCTCCTCTGCTGTGAGGACATACATGTGTGGAAGTGTATATTCTCAACACCAAGAAGTTGTGAAATCCACCTCAACTTAAATGAACGTGGGCCCAGAAATGCTGCAGTGGACAGAGCTTTCTGCTGGTGGTTTAACTGAAATGGGAAAACACACGCCACCCCCCAACCCACATCCTCCAATCCAACTTGACCACATGAGTCTTGAGGGAGGGCGAAGAAAAAATAAGTAAAAATGATGAGGTTAACTTGCATGCACACACCAAAAGGGTTTTTGAAAAACTAGGTAGCACTTCAACCGTAATTTACTGAGGTTAAAGGAGTGAGGGGCCCCCACAACACCACTGGGCCTTTGCTGTGATGAACTGGTACACAGAGAAACCACACATTAAACCAAAATGTGTGAGAACTGAAGTTAAATACAGTGGAGTGTGTGTAGAGCTGGTAGAGCTGTGAAAAACAAAAATTGGGTGTAAAAACCAATGATGTTACATGAAAAAAAAAATTGAATTAAAAAAATATATTATGAAGGTGATTCCACGTTAACCAGACATGTTGAGCCATATTAAACAATGAATACACAACAAATATGTGAGTCCAGATCACTCTGATTTCAACAGTCTTTGAAATCAGGCCATCTGTGACACTTAATGTCAATACTCACGCTACTGCAAAGTTTTTTCTCAAGTCTGAATGTGTGTATGAAGGCATCGTCCTGTTTTGGGCTAAATGGTGTTCATAGCATTGACATAAAGAAATAAACATGATTTGGGATAATGGACCATGTCTTCTTTATTTACACTTAAACAAATAATATTTTGGTCTCATTTTGACATTCTGCCTCACCCATGGAGTGAAAGAAAAGCACAACAAATAGCCAAGTAGCATTGCAGTTGCATGCACTTATACAGTTTAATGTACAGAAAAAAGGAGTGCGTCATAACAACTCATTTTCAGCCCTGTGGTCTTCAACAAATGCCAGATCAGCACAGATCTCTGTGATGTGGACTGTGCTGCCTGCTCTTGCTCAGTGTGGCCCGGCTCATTTCTTAAGGCAGACACCTTTTCAAAGTGCCATTCGCTGCCGTGATGTTTCTAGGGGTTTGAAGCCCATGGTTTTCCACTGTAAGTCATAATGTTCTCATTGCAAAAAAAATCTACACTTCAGATTCAAATATAACCACATTCACCACATGGTGGAGTAACTGCTACCAACCCACACCTGAAATCAAAACAAAAATGTGTAATATGTGTAATTCAAGAGGCAGAAAAGTCAGCTTTTGTAGCTAAAAAGCAACAAAACAAAAGGTATGTCACCATTTTAGGCTTATTTATACTACTTCCGGCTGACTCCAGTATAATGGCACACTGAAATAAAAATGTATTCAAATCTTAAATAAATAATATATAATAATAATATGATCAATATATAAATCTGAAATATAAATTTTTATATCTAAATATTAGATCAAATCTAAAACCTTTGAATACAGATGGTCTTGAGTTTCATACAGTTTCATTTAAACTACCAGGCTAGTTTAGGATTATACTAATAATGATAAAACTGCTTTGAAAGCTTTTGGGCAAAAGAGAACAAAATAAATAAATGTCTAAAATTTGTAGGACGAGCAAAGTAAAAATGTTTCTTTCCATTCTTTGAAGGTTGATATCATTCAAAATATGCTTTAACAGCCGACAGATCCAAAATAATACACTTATGGTAGGCTTCTTTAAATTAAATATATGCATAGGACATTTCAGGGGCTTATACTGAAGCTCCTGCGGTGTCATAACACTGTTGAAGAAGTGATAATAAATAATCCTATTATTTTTGTTCAATACATAATATAGTTGATGATATACTTTTTGCTTGATAGTAACACATTTCCAATGTGGTTAAGTAGGCATACACAAATCTCTTGGTTTTGAGTTGTTAATCATCAGCAACTCAATATTTAGGTACCATTGCCAAGGATGACCTGGAAATATGTCGATATCCCAAACTAAAAACACTGACACATTCAAACATGTAGCAGCTTGTCGTGGCCTCCCGCGTTGACTTTGTTCAAGGATTTTTTTTTTGTTTCACCCTCTCAGTAGATGGCTGACATTTATCGACAGAAACAGTGCTGCATGGAAAAAAAAAAAAAAAAAAAAGGAAACGTGACTGATTGCAAGTTTTAAACCAATGTGGCCAAAAAAAACAAACAGATAGTGAAACTAAATTTGAAAAACCTTACCTGTTGCCTCTGTGTGCAGTTTGGAGCCGTCCGTGCTCGTCACTTTACAAGAAATAAAGAGCTTCCTGCCTTCCCTTTTGTCCAAACAGGACTCAACCAGCACTGTGTTTCCCAGTGGGATGGGGCTTGGGGACAAGAGAAGAGAATCATGAATAATCATGATCAAAACCAGTTTTGTTTTCATCTGTCTGCTCTTATACCACCAGACAGCGAGTGAATATTACCTCCAAAGCAAAAGTCAATCAAAAATCAACAAGGCTCAGCGGCTTTACGTAAAAGTCGACTTGACAGAATTAAGTTTAAAGTAAATGTTGCTTTTCTTTATCAAAGGTGTACCTGCGGTAGTTTATGTTGAGGTTGGCGGTCATAACTGGCGCACTCAGTATGGAGGCATGACTTCCTGTAACGGTGTCAATCATGGTGGCTATTGCCCCCCCGTGGACATGGCTGGAAACACACACACACACACAAAAATGCAAGAAAAGGGCCTGAACAATTGCATATTTAGTAGTTTGATTGTTTGTTTCAATGCTTAACTCTTCTTAAAGCCAATGGAAGATAAAAAAAAGGAGGGAGGATGAGCTCAAACTGTAAACCTCTCCTTTTGGCTACAGACGCAGTCCAAACTAGGGCACATCACACCAAGACATATTTCTATTTCATGTGTAAGTGCATTCAAGGCAGTACCATTATGGTGTGTTTGCTATGGGATACAATCAAAATGGAAATATAACTAGCCGTGCCATCGGTACACAAGCTTAAAGAACGTTTGAGATCATCTTACCCAGGAGGCCCCTCCAGAAGGTGTCCAGATTGGAAAACACACACACACCTCTGCTCGTCTTTGCTAACGAAGACAACATACTCAAATGCTGCTCCGGGCTCCCTGATGTTTCGAGTAAAAAGGCGAGCTTTTGACTGGATTATCTTACTAAGATACACTCCACCTGATGGAAGGACCATACAAGCAAACATTAAGCAGATGACAAAAAAAAATCATTGAAAGCTGTTCTTATCATCCAAATGGTGATGATGATATATATATATATATATATAAAACCAGGTTATATACACAGGAGAATAATGCGCTTTTAGATTTTTAAAATTTTACTGCCAGTCGCATAGCAAAAAGACAGAAGAACATGATCTCAACTGTACCTGAAGCATACTTCAATGAGCGATTGTAGCTTGGCAGCCTTCTCCATTCACCTCCATGATTCTCCCCCTCGCATTGGTTGTTATAAAACTCATATAACCGGATCATTTCTTCTCCCCATGAAGAGTTAGGTAGGCTGAAGTCACGGGATTTGGGGGAAAAGAATGACGCCAGGGCCTGCTACACAGAATAACATGTAATAGCCATTCCATTAGAGGCCATGTCTTCTTTCATGACATGGGACAGAGTTATGTACAATTATTTTACTCATATGACAGTGGAAATTTGTATTAAGAGGATCAAAAACCTCCTCTGTTTTATTTCACCCTTGGTATACATTTATTTATAGACATCTTTAGAGATATCTGAAAAAGAAAATCATCCTAATTTGGTAGAAAGAAAAAAATAATTTTCTGTCTCGATTGTTTTTCTTTGGGAAAGTACATTCACGTCAAAGAAAAACCGCTGGAACCATCGAGAGAGGTATGAAGTTTGTCACATCAAGTGAAACCGATCTAAACTTCATTCAAGCGACCAGTCATTTCAAGCATTTTCATCTCAATTGTTCGTTACAAAACCTACCACCATGGTCCGGTCGAACGTGGTCCTGAATGCAACGCTGGCGCAGGGGTGGGCCACTTGGTTCTTTGTGAATGGGAGTGAAACGAAGCTCTGAAAGCTCCTAAATATTCGAAAGAGATTTTTCGCCATCTGTAAACAGTTTAAATGAAGGACATATACAGTTTCTATGCAAGCTGTCTATGTACAAGTATAACTGATGGAGTAACAGGAACTGAAGGTTACCAAAGTTAGCTAGCACCGTGAATAAAATGCTGTCATTTTAGTATAAACCAAGCAATTTAAACCATTTCTTTAACACGCTGAAGACATATTTGTTAAGCCAATCCCGGAAAATAGCACTAGGTAACACAGCGTCACAGCGTGAACAGTCGCTTGCCGGTGACTTTCATGTGTTGTGCTCATCTGGTAAACTTCCGGGATGAAATGCGTCATTGGCATCATATCACGTGCTATGCAACTCGAATCAGGATTGGCTACAGAAGAAAAAGGTTTCCTGTTGTGTTGTCGTCTCCCTGAAAACCGGGATAGACAAACTCTGGACTAAACTGTGATCCATTTCCTTAAAAAAACTTGAAAATAAAAAGGCAATAAAAAAAAAACATGGAAATAATTAAGTGAATGGAATTTTGTATACATATATTAATAAATCAAATCAAAAATATAAAATAATATTGATTTTTTAAGTTTTTTGGACTTATGACACATTCTTCACAATTGTGTCAAAGATTTGGGAAAAAATAATCATTGATTCTCACTGTATAAAGGAGGCAGACCATATACACATGGCATTCATGAAATTGACCAAAATGCAAAAAATACATACATCAAACAATAGTCTTTGGCATACAATTTTATAAATATACAACCTACAAAGAAATGGAACTTCAAAACATCAATGACACTTTTCAAATATGGCATGCTTTCATTCACCATTCTTGTAACAGTTTTGCCATAACTAAAGGGTTTTCTAATTTTTCACATTGTTTACTGTTCTTAGAGTTTATTCCTTTATTTGTCTTGGTCCCATAAATCAAAACTAGTGACATTACTAAGTGCACTTTAAGTAACACAAAGGCTTTTGGCATGATCGGTAAATTTGGGTAAAATCAACAAAGAATTATTTGTATAATTAAATTATTGCAATGTTATCAAAAATGTGCATATATTAGGCTTGCTGGTTGGTTATGGATCAACACTTTGCATAGCACATCAAGATATATGAAAGCTTTTCAGTAACACAACACTTCCCATAGTAAAAACCAGATTATATAAACAAAAGAATAATGTGTTTATCTTACCCCGGTTTAATAGATATGTTTAAATAGTGTTTTTTTCCCATAAAACACAAAATGTTATAACCATTAAAATGGTATAAGCAGCATGACAACCTTCCCAGGCCTCCTGATAATAGGCCGCACCAGGTACAAGGGTTCCATAAAAGGTAAAAACCATCCAGAAAACATCCTGCTGGTGATGTCCGCACATGGGTTCTTGTAGGTTTCCATGTGAGATATCAAGTTAACGTCCTTGTTAATGCAATGAAGAAACAATCATAAGTCAGTGTTTTACAGAAAGCTTTGGTCGGACTAGCCCTGCCCTATATCAAGACAATACAAAAGTAAAAAGCAATCAAGTTTCCCATTCCATGACAGAAACACCAGTCTAGTGGTTTTTAATCACTACAAATATTACCACCTTATGAAATATGATAAAAGAATATGAATGATATGAACAGTCTAAACACCATGAATTTACAAAAATACACCTTAATGGTGAGCTTCTTTCATAATAAATCTACCAGGATTGGATTGGGGCAGATTTTATTTGGGTTCTTCAAACACTCCACACAGCTTCCTGCAAAAGTGAACATAAAGACAAACCTTTTAATAACATGACTACAAATTGTATAAGACACCATTCATCATTCCCTGAGCACACATGTTATTCTCTCTGGAAGTGGGTGTTTCACTCTTACCGTGCCTCTTCTTTGGTCTTGTCTGCAAGTGCACACAGAGATTTGTCTCTGTCCAAAATCTGTTGTTTCAGGGTCTGAATTTCCCCCTGAGCTTTGCTTTTAGCCTCTTCATGGTCAGCTGATAAGACAAGTAATAATTTCTACATTTAAAACATCAAATAATTTGACAGGTGCCAAGCACAACAATAGTAGATGGAAGATCTACTAAACAATGTCACACTATAGTTAATCGGGACATCAGTCATAAAACATATCTCTGTGTTAGCCAGATATTTGAAAAGATTTTAAAACATAGATAATAAACCGGCAGCTGTCCGCATCCCTGTGGGCTGGCTCATGTAAATAAAGACAAGCATAGTATCAGTCCTCCTGACCTACCTTTGACTTTAGTCAAGGCCTCTTCTAGTTCTGCCTTCCTTTTGTCAATGTTGACCTAAAAAGGTATTAATTATTTGACAGTTGTTATTTCTTTGAGAAGAAAAATAGGCCACCTAGAAGACAAACATCTTAAGCAAAAAGATTAAGTGAAAAGGTTTACTTAGCCAACACAATGCCTGAGTAAAGAACAGGTTCAATTGAAGCTAATTCAGTTAAGCAATCACGTACAACTACTTGTGAATGTGCGTGTGTGTGTGCGTGTGTGTGCATGTATGTGTGTGTGTATGTGTGTGTGTGCTGTCGAACGTGCGTGCGCTCCTTGCCTTTTCTGCCTTGCAGGTCTCCAGAGTTTTATCCATCTCCTGTACTGAATTCTCAACCTCGCTTTTCTTTTGCTTCAGCTCATCCACTTTTGTGTTGGTGGACACCAGCGATGTCCTCATCTCCTGCAGTTTGGCTTTAACCTCGACGATGGATTTCTCTTTTTGCTTTACCTCTATCGAGTTGTCAACCAGGCGGGCTCTCAGAGAACGCAGATTCAGCTCCTGACGCACGGTCTGGAAAACCATGGCGCCCATCACCAGCAGGCTGAGCACACCAAAAGCCAACGCCAGCTTCATATTGAGAGCGTGTCAATGAATCGGTGGGTGACTGATGTTCTGAGGGCTGTTGGCGAACATTACAGGACTTCCTGAATACTGATTCCGCCTCTGGTTCGCTGGCTTTGCACAGTGAAGGTTTGTCTGCGACCTGCTCTACCTGACCAACTTGTTGGGCGTGACAATCCACCTGCTTCCCGGTGACACCTCTCTTTAGCTCCGGCTTCTGCAAGTGCCCCGTATGTCTTTTAATCACGACCATGATGCTTCTGTTCCAGATTCGCCTGATATAAAAGCTGCTGCTGATTTAAATCTTAGGTGAACATTTGCTTTTTTTTTTTTTTTAAATGTTTAGATGGTCTGTCATGCTATTTGTTATTTGAAAAGCATACAGGAAGAGGCGTTTCTAACACAGACTTTGGACAATTAGAAAAAGAACAGGTGAGTCTTTTTTTTTTTTAGCTTCTTGTGTCGTACCGGGAGGTGTACCCAGAGGCTCAAACGGGGGCTTGTTTAAGGGTCAGGAGATGACCAACGCTTTGGTTTTAAGTCACATCCGTCAGGAGATCTCTCCCCGATTCTTAATCAGGCACTTCACTTTTCAGGATGAAGGTACAAGTTGTGATAGCCGGGGCAATAGTTTTGTCCGTTGCTTTGGCTGGAGTCATAAAAATGCGGACAAAGGAGGTGATGAGCGAGCAAAAGCGTAACAGGTTTCAGGACATCAAGCTGCGAGTTTCGGACGAGGTTCTGAGTGAGTATCTGACTGAAAAGTCCGAGAAGCAGGATCTGCTGCAAGAGGCCCTGAAGGACGTGAAAAACTTTGGGGAAGAAGTGCTTAATCTCCAGCAAAAAGCAGAGAGGACAAAGGCCGAGCTGGACCAATGCCTTGACGGCAAGGTGAGGGAATAAGACGCTATTTACCAGAGGAGAAAGTTGACCTGATTTACGCACACGCATGTATCGGCTTTCAGCTGAAAAAACAACTTATAGCAAGAGGAGACGGTAGGACAAATCTGAACAACTGGCTCTTTGAAATAATGTATTACTGTCAAAGGTTTCCCTTGTCTCAATGTAGTCTATCCAACATTTGTTAGACGGTAAAAACGCATTGTAGTGTTCCATGTCCACTTAAATATTTTAAGGAATAAACTAATTCTGCTCATCTAAAATGCCAGTTGTGGGATTTACTTGATTCAGAGATTTTTGTTGTTGTTGTGTTAGAATCACCCAAAATGGATCAAGGTTTACCTACAAAGCAAAAAAAAAAGTAAGAAAGTTATCTCCCCCTTAAAACTCTAAACATCTACTTCTCTATCCAGTTGATATGTGTTAGTATGTTGCCTTAAAACAAACATTTGAGCATCCTTGTTCATAGACAATATTTTATCAGATGGAAAAGAATATCATATTTGAAAGAGAAAATCTGAACACATAAACACCACTATGTTTGCTTCATTGACATATCCAGCATTTAAACTACTCATTCCAGTTCAATGTCTCCACATCGTCTCTTCCAAGTGAAATGCACAGTGAACAGACAGGTATTAATATCTATTTGTCTTTCAATAAAATGACAGGCAATTATGTATGATGTTTTATTTAGAACATGCTCAATAACTTTGGTGGTAGGTTGCATATAAGAGCTACCCATATTTTTCCGTGAACAAGATGTAACTTGACATCTAGTTCATTCAGAAAACAGAAAAAAAAACATATGAAGTTTGAGTTGTGAACTCAAATGGCCTGTTTCACTGCTAATAGCAGCAACTGGAAAGTCAGTCTTATTGTCTGTAACTAACAATAAGAATGAAGGCAACATTCCATTTCAAACTGCCTTTCCTATGCTACTGTTCTGCCCTTCCATTATATGAATCCTTGTAATCCACAATCACCTTTTTGAAAATGATGAGGCCGTATCTTTTACTGGGTCAATAGCTAACTTCCTCAACTGAAGTCTCTCACAAATAGACCAACAAATCCAAAAGCAGTCACACAAAAGTTACTGTAGTACGGCACAGATGCTCTGATTGAGGTTTGTATTGCTGAGATTTTTTCCCCCATTTGCAGAAAGCAGATGCAGATAAACTGGCATCACTACAAATGGACTTGAGTGATGCTAAAGGTGAGTGATGCTTTTTCATCCTCGGTGTGGAGGAATGTCGAGCATGTGACCACTCCCACCTGTGTATTTTTATGCATGTCATCTAAATTTGATTTTAATATGTGTGGTCACACTTACAGCTGAATCTGAAAAGGAAATGAGTGTCTGGAACACAGAAATAGCAGCACAGAAAAACCAACTGAGCAATCCCAGCCCTGTGTGCAACTTTTTGAAACTTGACTCGTCGGCAGCAAGGTATGGTTACTTTTTCTCTAAGCACAAATCAGCAGAATAAAGTCACACATCCACCTCTGTATGTATTTACTAATTGGGTTATCTACTGTTCAATTTCACCTCAAAGAAACATGTGCGGAGATAAAGGGGATGGTAAGGCGAAAGAAGAAAATGCCCCTAAACAAGAAGATCCAAAGGCAGAGGCCCCTAAACAAGAGGAGCCAAAGGCAGAAGAGCCTAAACAAGAGGAGCCAAAGGCCGAAGAGCCTAAACAAGAGGAGCCAAAGGCCGAAGAGCCTAAACAAGAGGAGCCAAAGGC